AGAGAGAGAGAGAGAGAGAGAGAGAGAGAGAGAGAGAGAGAGAGAGAGAGAGAGAGAGATAGATAGAGAGAAACGTTGAAATAAGACGCGCGCCGCCTCACCGCGGGGAATACTCGAGCGTCGCTCGTCTATGTGTCGCGTGACACATTTTTACAGTTTATCTATCCCTCAGCACGGAAATTTCGACGTTATAAAAACTTTCCACGCGCTCTCGCAGATGAAAATATGAGAAAAATCTACTCCAAGCGGGGTTTAAAAATTAAATTCACTCGAAACACGAAAACCTACAATTTAAGTGCGGCCGTTATTTCGTAAATTAACTCTTCTGGAATAATCAACTGTCAGTTATGGGAGTAATTGGCGGGGGGGTGCAAACAGGCGTGAAATAAAACGTTCGAGTGTCGGCACAATTTGCGGACGTGAAATCAAAGATTCCTCCCGTTGTTATTAGACTAATTACAACTTGCATCATCGATCATAATCGCGCTATAAATTCGAATACAACGGTGTCGTCTCTCGACATTGCTGCAATTTACTTGATGCCCGAATTCGCGTCGCGGACGAATTCGCGGTGGGTCGTAAAGTCACGGCGCAAACGCCGTTTCGCTCGCCCTTTTCGCTCGCGCGCGAAAAAGGGCCAGCGGCGCTCTTCTTCTGGGCAGCACAACACAATATATACGACACTCGAAATTTCGGAGGGGTCGAAACCCCCTTCCACGCGCGATCACCGGGGGCGGCAAGGGGGCTCTTCTCTGACGAACAGACAAAACTCTCTCACCCCCCTCGCGAATTGGCGAAGCAAGCGAGAAAAGCGGGGTTGCCGTCGGGCGGTCGCCGCCAATCGTCGCCGTTCTCGTTCACCGATGAACCCTCGCGTCTGCGCCCCTGCACGGAGCGTCTCTCGTCGGGTTCCCTTCGTCGCCCTCGGGTACCGCGCGCAAGGCCGCGGACCTATCACTTCTTTGGCGACAGCCGTCGGGGTAACATCCTCGCCCACGCTCTCTCTTCTCTCCCATCCCTTCGATCCTTCGCATCTCTCACCGCCAGAATCCAAACGACAACTCCCGAACGAACTTCCATTCAAACTCTCTCGCTTCTATCCTAACTTCGTCCCACGAATTTTCCGTGTGTGTTTTCCATTCATTTTCAACTTTTCAACTTTTCCATTTTAATCGCTTTCTTATATACACATACATCACTTCCGCTGTCACCGCTGCTGGGGTAGGTCTCTTGATTCTTTTCGTTTGTGCGCTGTTTATCCGAAAAGATAGAGAGACGTCCGATCAAAGACCGACCGTTTCTACTTCGCGCGTCGCAGTGAAAGAGATCCCGCGATTGTTCCGGCCTCACGAAGAGTATCCGCGCGCGCGCGTTCGAGAGCGTGCGGTCGCTTTTTGTCGTTTCGCGCGAACTTCCGCTTTTGTTTCGGCTCCTATTTTTCTTCGGACAAAAATAAGCGATATTACGATTTTCACGAATATTTCTTTCCGCAGCAGTTTTTTTTTTTTGTTTTTTTTTTTGTTTTTTTTGTTTTCGCCTCGCTATGAAATTTTTTCGGGATGCGGTTTTATTTGCAATATTTGAATTGGTTCTTTTTGCACCCGCGTCCGTATAAAGAACAAATAGCCATCGCGAAAAACATCGGATTTTCCAGCTTTCGTCGTTTCTCTTAATTTCGCGATCGTCGTCGGGAGGAAAAAAAACACACGCACACACGTGTGCGACTGGTGTGTTGTACGTTCGGTATTCATCGCGAGCACGGTTGTCGTAATTTCCATCCCCTCCCGTTTTCGTGCCTTAAAATCGCCGTCCAAATTAGAGACAATAAGAACGTTCTTTGTGATCTTTTTTACCAGATTTTTCGACGTTGCCTTATACTGTTGTTTCGTTCTGTGTTTTCTTAACTCGTTTGCGACGGAGGAGCTTATTTCCTCGCGCCGATTACCGATCCAACCACGAGATTGCCTTATTCAGATCGTTTGTGTCCTTTTCCTATTTCTCTCTTTCTCTCTCGACCCAGATTGAACTCAGACCTCGGTTCCGTCCTTTTCTCGTGCCTTTTTACATACACCTTCCCGAGAATTTACCGCTCTTGTTGTTGTGATCGAGCCTGTAACCTGCTCGCGATCTCGAGGAAAACGAGAAGACACGCATAAAGGAAGAAGAGCCCCACGCTGATCCACGACCGATATTCTCGACGTAAAAAAAAAAAGTCTCTCTTTTTCTCTCTGTCTGTGCCGTATCGCTTCGAAAACTCGCGCTGGATGTCCACGAAACCGTCCGGGCGAGAAGAAATCATCCATCGTGCGCGATCGAGTGACAACACGATGACACCGGCGCGGTGAGTAAGAATTGTTCGGTTGGGCTGCATATGTCATGCGCAAAAGTTCGGCTACTTGGGTGTCTGTAGATTTTTTTTTTTTTTTTTTTTTCTCATAAGGATAGCGAAGTGTGCGCGCGATATAACGCTATAACGTTGCTCCATTTTTCCGTTAGGCGAGCTTTTAGCGCGGTGTGTTGCTGCATCGCAAGTACAAGTTTGATCTACATTTTTTTTTTTTATATATAGCGGCGTATTTCTGCGTAGAACGTAGAGTTTCGCAATTCACGTGATTAAATTAAGTAGCAATAAAAATTGGATACCGACGATTGTGGATGAAACAGAGAAAAAAAAATTAAATCAATACAAATTAAATTAAGCAATAAAAATTGAATGACTGATTATCAGAGAAAAAATTGAAGTAATAAAAAATTAAAGTAAATGTAATAAAAATTGTACGCTGATTATCAGAGAAAGGGAGATTGAAATAAACAAAACAAAAAAAAAAAACCAATTCTTTTGTTGTTTGAAAATTTCTCGATTTTCATCGACATTTTTATTCAAATATTTCTGATATGCGGACGTGAATGTTGCGCATACACAATAGTTTTTCGAGAAAAATAACACAGCGTGTGTCGTTTTTTTATTTAGTTGAATATTATCGTATCGCATGTCTTCGAAATTAAAAGTCACATGCGATCTCTTTCCGGACACTGAAATTTAACGGACAAACAAGAGAGGGAAGATCAAATGAGATTAGGGTACAATATTGATTACCGTAAAACAATCAAGATAGTATACTCAATTATTAAGAGCGAGTCGTGCGGCAACACACAACTCTCTCTTCCCCATCCCTCCCACGATCTCGAAATCAGATAGTATAATGTAAGGGGTCGACTTTCCGGAGTCTCCCGAAATTGTTCGAGGGTGGCGGAGATTCCCCCGTGACGATGGCAATCGAGCGTTCACGTATCGGCTTCTTTTTTTTTTTTTTTTTTTTTTTTTACGCAAAACACGCGGTTTTTTGACTCTCACTGATTGTTGTGAGTCGCGGAAAGCGTTCTTTTCAGCGAGAGATTTGCAATGTAACAGTCGCAAATTTGCAACAGATATTCACAAACTCGCGTTAAATCGCATCTACGATTGATAAGTATCCGAAACTGAAAAGGTAACAGACAAAAAATTTGTCGATTTGAAATATATTTGCTTTTTCAAACGTAGTCGCCTCGATACACATTGATCGGCGTTTCTCGAGAGCGCCACTTTGGCAGAACGATTTCTCGAACTCCTCAAAATCAGCCATTCACGGCGTCGATGAGTTATTGTTGCTTGAAAATTTCTCTCCGCCGAGCCAGTTTTTCGGATTCGAATAGAAAAAAAAAAAAAAAATAGAAATCGCGCCCGTATCTGGCGAAATAAGACGGAGGGATGAGACAGCAATTTTCGAAGTCCGAACTCGTAAATTTTGACCGTTGCAGTGCTCGTACTGGTATACGTTTGTCAAAAAATTACTTCAGAACATTTACTTTGAGCGAGCCGTTGGCGCGCGAACACTCTACGTGCGTGATAATGAGTCGGCGTTTGACATTTGTATCTTCCGAGGAATGAAAATGTCTTGTCGGAGCTACAACGGCAATGCGTCGCTATTTTTTGATGCGCCGTTTCGCGAATACTCATCAATCGTTCCTCGTATTGCGGCTCTCTCAAAATCGATTGGCTGTAAAATTGTTTATCCGAGCGAATATATTGAATCGTATACCTACCGCGCGTGTAACTGAAGATAAATAACAATTTAATTTGTTGCAAATGTGATGTCGATGGTAAGCAACAATAACGACGATAAAATAGCGCAGCGCGCGAATTGGCACTTTGCAAACGTAATTGCTTGAGCGAAAAAAAAAAAAAGAAAAAATCAAATGAGGTTCGTACATGCAATGCAACGCGGACGGAGTTACGGCATAGATTTTGGAGTTAGACGTTTTGTCGATATACCGCATTATTGACAGCGCAGTTTCCAACTTGCGTGTACGTATACGTTATATTGGTTGTGTTTATAGACGCGTTTACAAGTATTATTAATCATTTTCCAATAGAGACTTGCAAGATAATACCGGGTTTATATTGGTAGGAGTATCGGCGCGATACGATACGCGCGCCAAGAGCAACCGTATTTCTATTTTTCTCGCGACTGCGAGAAAATGTAACGTAAGAAATCATTTCCTTATTCCGTCTTCGCGAATCTGTCGAGCGCGAGAAGGAGAATTTTTTTTCTTTTTTTTTTTTCCATGTAACAACAAGTTCACCGGAAATTAATTCCGCACCTACACGTGTCTGTATCTTCGGCTCTTTCTTTATTTTATCGAAAGCTGACACACGAGGCGGCGCGCAGCACGCGCTTGTCTTATTTTAATCCCTTTCCGATACACTGGAATTCTGGAGGAAATCGACGATTTCCACATCTGTCTCCGAAAGAGAGAGAGAAAGAGATAGAGAACGCGCGCGCGTCCAGATGTTAAAAACGAGTTAACCCGATATGCACGAGCATAGCATTTATTCGGAAATCCCGGCAGACTATTTCCTGCAGCCGAACAATAACGCCGTACGGTCCTCCCCGACTTAGAGCGCCGGGGCTTCGATCGTAACTTCGTCGAACTAGCGTCGAACGGATCGAACGCTCTTTTCGAAGAAAATTTCGCTTACAAATTTTTATCAGCGAAAAAAAAGAGAGAGAGAGAGAGAGAGAAGAAACTATTCTCTCCTCGTTCCATCTTCGGAAAATAGAAAATTTTCGCGAAGGATCAAAAACGACCGAGAAAGAATATCGGGAGAGTCGCGGGACTAAACTTCCAAACTTATTTTCTTAGCAATAATATTGTAAGATGAGATAAGACAAGCTTTTCACTCTCTCATCCGAGACGGAACGAGATTATGACGACTAAAAGATTTACGAGAGAATCCGAGTAACACGGAAGGAAGATGAGGTTTTTTTTTTTATGGCGGCGACGAGAAAGTGGCGAAAAATTCGGGGAAACAAAACCGGCGGGGGTGACGTGACTTGCTCGCGCTACGCTCCAGCTTTTCTCATCCGGTTCCACGGGGGTGTGTTACTGGGGCACTAGTGCGCAGAAGCTCCGAACATGCCCGATGTTGGATCCTAGAGAGAGAATCGTCGTATACCGATGCGCGTTCCCTCCCCACCACCCCCGACCCCCCGTCGCACCCACGTCGCCTCATCTCCCGCCCCTCGGGTCCCACATCTCTCCTTTGGGTGAGACAAAGAAAGAGGATGGGGAGAGGAACACCACGGGGTGGCTCCCCGATTCGACCCTCTCTCGGCTACATTTCGAGCCGCAGCTCGAACCGGGCCGCATTCAGTTTCCGACCGGCGATTGAAGTGACGCGTTCCTGGTCGAGTTCGTCGTTCTCGTCCACCCTCTCTCGGGATTCCACCCGAATCGGTCGTCCCGAAGGATCTTGGTCGCTCTCGTTGCACCCGCGGTTTCACAGAGGGAGCCGTGTGCGAGATCGCGGCGTGTTACATACACACACACACACACACACATACACACACACACGGGTGCGTGTTTGAGGGATGTTGCGCGAGACTCGGAGCCATCGATCGACGCAATCGAAGCGATTCAGTGACGTCTGTGTGCGGAGTTCGCGCGAGTATCCGACGATAAGGCCAATCATCATTGGGATAAGTGCCGAAAAAAATAACACGGTCTGGCGTATACGCACGATTACGTATTTATTTTATTTTTTTATTTTTTTTTTCGTTGATTTCGAGTGTATTCGTTTTGCGCGTATATAGTGAGAGATTTAATTTAAGTTTTCTAATCTAAGAACCCGTTTTTACTCAAATTTAAATTCTCCAATTGTCTTATCTCTTTACACATCTTGTAATTCCGTTTCGCTTTCTCTCTCTCGCGCGCGCGCGTTTCCTAGTTCTCTCTGCATTAATTCGAAAACTTATCTGTTCACTGAAAATTTGTTTTATTAAAAGCTTCTTGCTGATTGCATTACTCTTGTTGTTTCTTTTTCTTTTTTTTTCTCAACCTATTGTCATTAAGTTTTTTTCCTTGCTCTACTTACTGATCTTGTTTCATTAAGATACAGCGGAATATCAACGCGGAGCGAATAATCCCCGTTCCTCCGAGCGAGGCTCGCTGATTGGTCGATTAATGGAATATCGATGTAAATAGAGCGGGATTTACGAGGTCACTAAAGCTCGTCGTCATCATCGTAAATCGGTCGCAATCGGGAGTAAATACGGTATACGATATGGAGCTGAGCCCGTGCTGCAGTTTCGTCGGGATAGTAAATTATCTGTACACGAGGAGCTTGCACCGCCGGAAACGGCAGCGATCGACACCCAACATTCCACGATCTTGGGTAGTAATAGGGAGACCGCCAGTAGCCCAAATTTTATAGATATATATATATAGATGTAGTTGCTGCTGCTGCTGCTGCTGTTGCTGCTAGGTCGCTAAACGCAAGTCGATACAATGCATCGTCGAGGTAAATATCACTAATCATCATCCACGTTTTTTGTTTTTTTTAAATAATGATTCATCGTACCACCGTCGTCCACGCGGTTTCATTGTCGTTTAGCCAGCGACGAGGTATATTTTGCCTGCCTCGCGCAGTTCGAGAAACGTCGCGTCTCGTTTTATAAAACGCGTGAGTGCGTTTTAACGCCGTATTTAATGCAACACATGATTTTACAATAACGCGGCACTATCGAAAAATAAGTCGAACGGACTTGGAAATTAATAGTTTTTGAGAAAACTATAAAATCGAAATTTAACATTTATGTCGAGATTTATTAAAACGAGACTCCGATCGTTTATCCCGAAATATTGAATGTTGTTCTGATGATGTTTCGTATAGAGATTTATAGAGAGTAGAGAGAGTTTATTAGATTTAGAGATCGAGCTTTGTGTGTTGAAAAAAAAAAAAAAAAAACTTTTGTTCTCTATAAAAGTGTTCAATAATGTGAAAAAGAAAAGATAAATAAA